GATTTCACTTAAACATAATTTGTGCTTTATAATAAATGTGTAAAAATTACCAGGAGGAACAGGTTTTTTTGTTGTTGTTAATTCCTTTTAAACATATCAATTATACAAAACTTAATTGATTTGACTAGACCGAAATCAAACTGAACAGGTCAGAGGTTTTTAACTTGGAAGGATCTGGAATTGATACTTTTTTCTGTATGAAGCCATAGAAATAAAACATTTATTTCAAGTAGAAACCTGGTTGGTGCCAACGTAAGAGAGAAAATACTTAAAAAGACAATTTCTCCAAAAAAACTCATTAAAGTAATGCTGTAAATTGTTTGTATTTTAATAGATTTTTCAATTTTACAGCCACAACTTCAAGTATTTTGACTCTGTTTACATGCTGCCAGAGTTCCCAACGTTTAGGTACTTTGTATTGCTGTCGTGTGCCTTACCTGAGCTATGACAGCTTCTCTGGTCTTATAGTATTTGAAGAAAAGATGGTCGGTCTGAATAAAGAGCTGGCAGGTGTTTTTCTCCACCTGGGCCATCCTCTTCTTCCTCAGCAACACGGGGCTTTCAGACTCCGCTTCGGTGTGGAGCTCCTGACGTGAGGAGCACACGAGTCTTAGAGAGCTGAATAAAACATATTTATAGCTTTTCCATCCTAACAGTGAGTAAATAAGTAATGGGAAGTATTTTTAGAGTTTCCCCCTTAAGCCACGGCATGTTCATAAATCAGATTTTAGCTAAGAGATGGATAAGATGAAATAAAACCACAACCAAAGAAAAATAACTCCAGAAAATACAGATGCATTTCAGTGAATTAGAAATTTAATTCACAAAGTGAAACTCATAATATTTAGGTTGATTACACAAAAAGAGAAATATTTCTTAATTTTGCTGATTAAGGCTTGCAGGAATGACAGCTCTAATTTACTTTTAGTTTCTCTACCAAAGTCGTTTCTCGGTCAAAACTATGAATGCACAAATACACTTTATGTTTTGCTGATATCAACATCTGAGGACTAGAATCGGCAGATACCGATCCGATAAGGAAAAACAGCTGAATTCACTTAAAACGTTACTTTTTTTAAACACAGACATAAATGTACTGAATTAGAAATTTGCATGGTAACTCTGCACCAGTACAGCTTAAATACGCCCACAGCTTCACAAGCTACTGGTTAAACATGTAAAACAACTTCAATGTGTTCAGTCAGAGCAATTAGGAGAATAAAAGGCGATGTAAAATAAATAATAAAGACACTAGACAAAAACAATAGGCGCTCATCTATCAGGGGGAACGTCTGCATCTTATCTAGGCTGTGTTTATATGCAGAGTTTTGGGGAAATTGTATTTAGCCAATTTAACAGAACAGAGATGGATCCAACACTTTAAAATGACAAACTCAACTTTTGATGAGCTGTGCGATGCTGCGACAGCTCTGTAGGAGATCCAAGGA